GCCCCACTCGCGCTCCCGCCATCACCAGTCGCGTCCGCGCCTTCTAAGGAGTGTATGCCAGGTTGGGAAGGGGGGGGGGGGGGGGGGGGGGGGGGGGGGGAAGGATGTGTAAGTTGGGGGGAGGTAGTAAGGGAGGTGGTCGAAAGGAGGGTAATGGTGGGGCTACGGCTGGGGGTAATGGTAACGTAGTGTAGCGTAATGTTGGTGGTGCACCCCTTGCATGCTTGCATTGCTTGTATAGCCCTAAACTCTCTTCCAATGCCCATCCTCTTTGCCCAATTTATCTTGCCACCTCCTTGCCTAGCTAACTAAACCCTAGCTATGGCAACTAAGTCATAATCCTTATTCTGACAGACGACAAATGGGTGCCATTCGCCTCACTTAACGCACCTTTACTCCTGTTGCGATCAGAAATTAGATCATGCCTAGGAATACCTCAGGAAGGTTCGCAGAATCGAAGTGTTGCAGCGGAAGAAATTGACTTCAGATTTGAGTGGATGTAGAATGAATGCGATGATTAAAAACGTGCAAATAAGAGTACAGGGGAATATGAAAGGTTCTAGTCTAGCCATGTACCGTATTTACTGTCAGAATATTATGCTCTAGCCTGCAGTGGGGTACTCTATAGCGAGTACAACCCAATTAGGGTTTCCTATATGTATGCCAACTGCTGCTAGTGCAAACCCTCCTTTCTTCATTCTTACTTTCTACAGCTAGTTCTGACATGCTATCAGAGCAGGTCGACCCTCCTGGGTCGATCCTGTGGGTGGGCCCACCACCTAAGCCTTCCGCTGCTACTGCTACTGCTACTCTGTGTGTCGCACGCCTCGTGGCGTGCGACGGATTTTTCATCCCGCCGTGCGCCCCGAGGTGTGCGGCGGTTTTCTGCCCGCCGTGCGCCCCGAGGCGCGCGGCGGTTCTCTGCCCGCCGAAGCGCCCCCGGGGACCCGCGCGTCGCCCCCGTCGCCCGTGCGCGGCCCGTACTGCACGAGCGCGGCCCGTACAGGCTGCGCCAGGCCCGCGCGCGGCCTGTCCTGCACGCGCGCGGCCCGTACGGGCTGCGCCAGGCCCGCGCGCGGCCCGTACAACCCGCGCGCTGCTCGTACGGGCTGCGCCAGGCCCGCGCGCGGCCCGTACGGCCTGCGCCAGGCCCGCGCGCGGCCCGTACGGGCTGCGCCTGGCCCGCGCGCGCCTCGGGCCGCCTGCGCGCGGTTCGTACGGGCTGCGCCTGGCCCGCGGGCGCCCGGTCTCCTCTCCCACTGAGCTGCACGCCGTCCCTCGCGCTTCTGACGGCGCCCCACCCCTGCTGCTGCCCGTACTCCTGAATTAGGGTTTGGGGGTGGAGCGTATGGGGGTGCCGTCTCTGTCAGCCGTCCCCTGCTCCTCCTCCTCCTCCGTCTCCCACTGCTGCAGCTGCTGCTCAGGGGGGTGGGTGTGTGGGAGCCGAGGGTTTAGGGTTTAAGGGGGGTGCCATGGGAGTGGAGCTAGGGTTTCAGCAGGGGGTGTGTGTTGGGGGGTGTGGGACAGTTGGAGGAGGTTGGGTGGAGGCAGCCGTCGTGTCGTCTGCAGCGCCTGTATTCCGGGGTTCTGATAGCCACCGGTAGCTCAGAGAGCCGGTTGCACCTGTCGCCCGTGGGTCCGTTGCTCCTGTCGCTGCTGATCAGACGCAGAGCCTGTTACTCCTGTATTCCGGGGCCCTTGCTCCCGGTAGCCACTAGAGTTGCACCAGAGCCGTCTGTTGCCCGTGTGTCTGCAGCTTCAGTCGTCGCCTCCACTCTTCTCTCCTCTCGCCAGCCCTCCTCCTCCTCACTTGCCCTCTGTAACTGCCTCTAGCTTTGCTCATAATTGTGCACTTTAAACTATTGCTTCTTAAACTTGTGCTCAGAATGTGTGGTGACATTGTGATCCACCCTGAGCTTGTACTGCTTTGCTTTCTCTGCTGATTACACCCCACTTTGGCTATGGGGGTGTGTCAGAATATTATGCTCTAGCCTGCAGTGGGGTACTCTATAGCGAGTACAACCCAATTAGGGTTTCCTATATGTATGCCAACTGCTGCTAGTGCAAACCCTCCTTTCTTCATTCTTACTTTCTACAGCTAGTTCTGACATTTACCCCTGTAATGGACCCTCAAAATTATAGACCCCCGGGTCGTTAAAGCCAGTAGCTAAAATAGTGACCCCCCCCTTCTAGTTGGATCCACTAGAAAGCTCATGAAAGTTTCAGGGAAGTTTGGCGCTTTTTTTCTGAAACAGGGAACATTTCAATTTGAAATTTCAGTTGTTTGAAACAGTGTTGTTTCGGCCCGATCCCTTGAGCTCTTCACAGGACTATTTCAAGCTGGGACGGGGGTCACTATTTTGCTTGCTGGCTTTAAATGGGGGTGGGTCTAATGCTTTATGCACTTTTGTAATAACCCCCCCTTTTTGTAACGAATCCGGATTAGCCCTCCCACACTGTATACGCTTCAGATTTTTAGATAGATTGTAGGAAGCGACAAGTTACTGCAGCAAAATTGACTGCAAATTTTAACTGGACTGCAGAATTTGACTGCGCGCATGCCTCGCGTCAGGGTGCGGTCAAAAGTTTCGTGATGCAACATTGGAACTGTTGCTTCTAGTGCTGAAACACTAGTTTTGTACATGACTTTGAAATAAAAAATGCACATAAGATTAGACCCCGGGTCTATTAAATTTACACCCACTTAATGGCCCCACCCCCCTTTTTTTTCCCAAGGCAGGATTAGACCCCTGGGTTTATTACCTGGGTAAATACGGTACTCTAAGGGGTACATTCCCTTATTCAAAATCAAAACCAACCGTGCAGTGCGTACAATTCCCACTTTCAGACTTGCACATGTGGCAAGGTTTTTTTCATCAAGGTAATTACCCTGATTTCAGGGTGATTTCAGGCCTTTTACTTCTGGAGACTGAGATGTCAGAGTACTTGAGTTCTCAACACTAATCCAATAAGAGTAATAGTTTTCATATCCATGATTTCTAGTATAGTATAGTGTAACAGACTAAACTGTTAGTAGACCCTGACTTAACAGAGTATCGACTCTGTGGTCTTGAAGTTAACCCTGCATTCGGATTAGTTGCAGTACAGCCAGCGCGTGTGTAAAGGTAAAGGAGGGGGGAGAGCCCCCTTTGGGTTACCCCCGGCTGTCGATCGTAATCCGCCTACCCACTTGTTTACACGCCTCGCTGGTATCGAGGTAAGGATATATCCACTCCCAGATGAGCAGTGCGAAACCCCCTTTTGGGGGGCTGGCCGAACTCGCCGGTGTCAAACTATATATGTGCTAGTTATGTGTAGGCTATAGTGGGGTAGCCCATATGGGGTACTTTTGTGCCAACACACTACAGTGGCACGGTCATCGCACTCCCATTCGGCCTACAAGCCTGCTCAGCTACTCGAATTTTGTGGGGAGGCTCTTCAACATGTATTCAAAGTTTCAGAGTTTTTGAAGTTGTTAACAAGTCATGACAGCATTTTATAGGGCAACACCCGAATTACTCAACAAAGTCAACGCGACAAAATAGGTTTGGGAAAGCAGAGTGTTGAGGTTCGAAAACCTCCCCTAAAACTCTCTTCCCCGAAACCAGAAGGAGCGAGACACAAACTGGGCCCAGTTTGTGAAGGCGTTTCGGTTATTCGGGGGCTGGGCTTTAAGTTTCAAGACTTATGGCATCCCGGAAGTGTGTGTTACTCTTTTTTGGTAACACCCGAGTTCACCATTTCGGCTGCTGACTCGTCTACCGAGCTCTGATTGGTCTGAAATTCGGTCTGGCAGTCCTTTGCCCCGTTGTGCAGGTGGTCACCAAGTTTCAGAACGATCCAACATCGGAGCATTGCGTGACAGCTGTCGAAAGTCACTGTTTCGTAGTCATGGTGCACTGTTGGCAGCATTTCCCTTGTCACCCTTTCATTGTTGTCATGCCAATGGTGCAGGGACAGAGAATGAGACAAGAAGTACAGGTGGTCAAGTGGGACTCTACCACCCTCCTTTTGAGAAGTGTGGTCTTCCTGGAAGCAGCTTGCAAGAGGGTGCAAGTGGGAAGACAAGCTGACTCATGGTTGGCTTGACTCACTATTGGTAGCCTTGAGTACAGCTCTGAACATCCATGTGTGGTTGGCTTTGCTGACCCAACTAGGACGTTTTCCATCCTTCTCTAGCCTTTCTCCCCTAGGAATCAACCTTCTCTGAGTTCCCAAAATGATCCCAACCCCTTAAGAGTCCCCTAGGCAATGTTGTACTCACCTCTTCCTTGCATCAATGAAACTACACGTTTTCAGCCGAGCTTACGTTTTCGTTCACTGCGTAGTGCATACACCTCTGATAGTAGCAAGTTATATACCGTAAGAAAGCAGACACCTAAGGCTAACTGCTGTCCAAGTTTCAGCCTCGTATCGAATCGGAGCTGGTCGTGAAGGCGTTTTGAACAGAGGAGGTTTGTTGTCGTCAGTTTCTACTTAGGCGGTTTCATGGGCATCCGCGACCCCTAAGTGGACTGCAAACTATAACAAGTGGTATCAGAGCTGTTCTACTCTGTTCGTGGGTGAATATGGAGGCTGAAGGTTCTGCTCCAGCTGGTCCCAGTGGCAGTGGTGGCGTGAGAGGCGCTGGGGAAGCGGGAAGAGACATTGCAGGCGGATCTGCACCAATGGCTTCCGTTTCAACATCAGCTAAGGATGATGTGAAGGCATTCAACCTGGAGAAGTTCTCTGGGAAGGATTCGGCATCATGGAGCTTCAGGATGGAGCTCCTCTTCAACCATTATGGGCTGCTTGAAGTGATGGATGGAGAATTGAAGAGGCCTGCGAGCGAAGGAGCGACCAAGGAATGGGATCGCCGGTCCAAGGATGGATTCTTCCTTCTCTCCCAATGCCTCTCATCCAACCAGCTGCACCACATCAAGCATCTCATCAAGGAAGTTGAGTGTGGTCCTAAGGCATGGAAGATATTGAAGGATGTCCATGCCCCCCTCAGCGAAGCAATGGTGGTGGTGCTCGAGCGACAACTCCATGCGGTGAAGATCAACGAGGGTGATGCCGTACAAGGAGCGTTCGATCAACTCCGGGACCTCTATGTGAAGCTCTCTGCTGCTGGTGTGGACTACCCTGAGAAAATCAAGTGCTACAAGGCTCTCTCCCTACTGCTAGAGTCGTGGGGGCCCTTGGTGGTCAACCTTAATGGCATGAAGGACTCGTGGTCCCTTGAGTGGATTCGCGCGCAAGTTCTTCAAGAGGAGTTTCGGAGGAAGGAGCTGACCGCCGCTGCCGGTGAAGGTGGAGGTTCAGCCTACGGAATCAAGGGCTTCAAGGGGCGTGGCAGCAAGAAAGGCAAGGCCAAGGAAGGTGCTGGAGGGAAGCAGCATTCGGGAGGGAAGCGTGGCAACAAGGGAGGCAAGCGGTGTGGCGGCAAGTGTTGGTATTGCCATGTGGAAGGTCACCCATGGTTCAAGTGCCGCAAGCTACCTGACGGTTGGAGGCCTGGTCAGCCATCAATTGAGGGCTCCAAGGGTGTTCATGGAGCTATGGGAGAAGGCATGGGCAGTGAGGAGGGCGATGGAGGTGCTGGCGGATACGGCGGCATGTTCTACCATGTAGGAGAGGCGTGCTCCGAGGACATGGTTGTGCCGGCCAGCAAGGTTGCTCTTCACCGCTCCTCCCATTGGGTCATCGACACGGGAGCCTTCATGACCATGACCAACCGAGAGGATCTACTGGATGAAGTCAGGCCATCAAAGGCAGCCACCGTCGTTTCAGCCACCGGCCAAGTTGTACCCGTGCGTGGCGAGGGGAGAGCCATGTTCATGGGTGCGGATGGGAGGCTTGTGGGGCTGAAGCGTGTTCTCCTTGTTCCTGGATTGTGTGCCAACCTACTCTCTACCAAGGGCCTGAGTGAGGCAGGGATGAAGATGGAGATGTTGGGCACAAAGGTTTTCAAGGCAACTCTGGATGGGCGCGTGTTGTGGGACCTCCGAGGCGGCAAGGACATGCACCGGTCCATGTGGGAGATACCGGTGCTGCCATGGAAGGAGGCGGCTGCGCGCTTGGCTGCTGGAGATGTGAGAGGAGGGCATGTTAACCACGTGGACAATGGAGGAGGTGGTGATGACAGTGGTGGTAGGCTCCTTGGGCATGAAGGGGCTGCGCTACCAAGTGTAACTCCTAGCACGGGTGAGACGGATTGGCTCACCGCACACCGTCGCTTTGGCCACGTGGCGCTACCTCAGTTGCAGCAGCTGTTCAAGGAGGAAAGAGTCAAGGGGCTGAGGATAAAGGGGGAGCCCAAGGAGGTGGGATCTTGTGAGACTTGCTTGACCAGCAAGTTTTCACGGTTTCCCTTCCATTCGGTGGAGGGGAAGTCGAGTGACCCTTTGAGCTCGTGCATGTGGATCTCGTAGGAACCATGAAGGTCAAGGGAGATGGTGGGGCCCTGTATTCCATGACCATGGTGGATGACAACACGAGGCTCACCTGGTCCTTTCCACTTGCAAAGAAGAGTGATGCTGCAAGGGTCATCATTGAAGAGTGGCTGCCCATGGTGGAGCGAGAGAGCGGCAAGCGGGTGAAGGCGATTCGTAGCGACCGTGGTGGGGAGTTCTTGGGAGCGGAGTTCCGAAGCTGGTTGAAGCGGCACGACATCAAGCAGCAGCTCACCACAGCCTACACCCCTCAATCCAATGGTGTGGCAGAGAGAGCGAACCGGACCATCATGGAGGGTGGGAGAACGATGTTGGTAGAGTCGGGTCTTCCCTTACGGTTCTGGCCCCTCGCTATTCGCCATGCCACCGTCATCAAGAACCGAGTCTTGACTCATGTGGGAGGGCAGCATTGGGTCCCTATGGAGAAGTGGAGAGGCAAGAAGCCCCTGGTGGATATGCTTCGAGTCTTCGGGTGCATGGGACTCGTGCACGTCCCTAAGGAGAAGCGTGACAAGCTTCAAGCGGCGGCGGTGTGGGCTGTTCATTTGGGACTTGCACAAGGGAGCAAGGGGTGGCTCATGTGGGACCCAAAAGCCAACACCATCTTCTTCACTAGAGATGCCAGGTTCATGGTAGGGCTCTGGTTGGAGCGAGGGAGGAGCAAGGTCACCATTCCGCTCGGAATAGAGGCGGGAACAAATGACCCACTCCTCATTCCCATTGAGTTGTCTTCATCTTCAGAGGTAACGGAGGTGTCACATGACTTGGGAGGTGCTGAAGGGGAGGCAGCAGAGGTGGAGGGAGTGTTGCAGCAAGAGGAGGCCCCTGTAGCTGAGAGAGGTGATGCCGAGGAGGAGGTGCAGCAGCCTACACCATCCCCTACACTTCCACCAAGGCGGACAACCCAAGGGAAGCGTGGTGCTGTCCGTGGTGGAGCTAAGGAAGGTGCAGCCAAGGAGAGGCCCAAGAGAGCTGCTCACCCAAGGGATTTCCTCAAGTATGAAAGGCTTGGGGGTCCCAAGGCATTGCTGGTCCAGGAGGAGGAAGATGATGAGGAGAAGGGAGCCGAGGGAGAGATGGAGCAGATTTGTTGCTTCGGTGTCAACTTACCTCATGAACCGGCTTCAATGGAGGAAGCACTTGCTGGAGATGATCGAGAGGCTTGGTTGGCTTCAAGGGAGGATGAGTTTCAGAGCCTCATGGAGAATGGAACATGGACCCTCACCAATCTGCCTACGGGAAGAAGGGCATTGGACTGCACGTGGATATTACGTGTGAAGACCGATGCGGAGGGGAAGTTGGAGAGGCGCAAAACAAGACACGTGATCAAGGGCTTCCAGCAGAGGGAGGGGGTTGACTTTAAGGAGGTGTTTGCTCCTGTTGCCAAGGCTCCTACGCTCCGGGTGTTGCTAGCAGCCGCTGCCGTTTGTGGTTGGAAGGTGGAGCAAATGGATGTGAAGACGGCTTTCCTCTATGGCGTGGTAGATGAGGAGATCTACATGAAGCAGCCAGAGGGGTACGACGATGGAAACGGACGTGTTTTCAGGCTCAACAAGGCAATCTATGGCCTCAAACAAGCTCCAAGGTGCTGGTATGCAAGGCTGGTGGAGGCGTTGGAGGCTCTTGGCTTCAAAGTTAGCGGGTGCGACGAGAGTCTCTTCATGACCGAGGGGGAGGAGGAGAAGGTGTTTCTCCTTGTCTACGTCGATGACATTCTCCTCTTCTCTCCATCCCTGGAGAGGATCAAGGAGGTGCAAGGGAAGCTGAAGGAGACCTTTCAATGCAAGGCCCTTGGACCAGTGGGGTATTACCTTGGTCTTCACGTGGAGCGGGACGAGGTGAAGGGATGGTTGAGGCTTCACCAACACAAGTACCTTGCAGCCATGGGGGAGAGGTATGGGCTGGAGGAAGGGAGGAGTGTGAAGACTCCTCTACCCTCAGGGTTTCAGCTACACCTTGATGAAGAGGAGGGTGAGGTGTTGGAGCCCGAGTTGCAGCGTCGGTTCCAGTCAATGGTGGGGAGCTTGATGTATGCTTCGGTCAACACTCGCCCCGATATTGCATTCGCGGTTTCGCAGCTGGCTCGTGTGGTGTCTAGGCCCCTTCAAGAGCACCTTGATGCAGCAGAGAGGCTGGTGAGGTACTGCATGGCAACCTCAAGGGTGGGGCTGCAATATTCAGTGCATGGGCAGCTGAAGCAAAAGGGAGTGGAGGAGGTGAGCACGAAGACCGGTGCACCTGCAAGGCGTGGACACTTGTACCTCTCGTGCTTCACCGATGCTACCTGGGCAAGTGACATCAGTGATGCAACATCCCATGGTGGCTATGTATGCTGTGTTGGAGGGAGTCCAGTGAGCTGGAAGTCTAAGAAGCAAGGGGAGATAGCTCACTCATCAACGGAGAGCGAGTACATGGCGTTGTTTCATGGGGTGAAGGAGGTGGTTTGGATGAGGAGGTTGCTTGAGGAGTTGGGGCAGGAGCAAGAGGGTCCTACACCTGTGTTTTGTGACAGCCAAGGAGCAATTGCAATGGCTCGCAATGCTGTGCTCCATGGGCTGAACAAGCACATGCATATCAAATGGCATTGGGTGAGGAAGGAGGTGAAGAAGGGCACGGTCTCCTTGCACTACATCAACACTACCAAGCAACCTGCAGATTTTTTGACCAAGCGGCTTGCAGAGCATCAGCATTGAACCTATGCCACCTTGTGTGGCATGTCCTTCAACTAAGGGAGGCAGCTTCAGGGAGCAGCTAAGGGATGAATGAGAGCACGATGAGGGGGAGTTTGTTGTGCCAACACACTACAGTGGCACGGTCATCGCACTCCCATTCGGCCTACAAGCCTGCTCAGCTTCTGGAATTTTGTGGGGAGGCTCTTCAACATGTGCTTTTCAAACCCTCAAAGTTTCAGAGTTTTTGAAGCAGTTAACAAGGCATGACATCATTTGAAGTTTCAAGACTTATGGCATCCCGGAAGTGTGTGTTACTCTTTTTTGGTAACACCCGAGTTCACCATTTCGGCTGCTGACTCGTCTACCGAGCTCTGATTGGTCTGAAATTCGGTCTGGCAGTCCTTTGCTCCGTTTTGCATGTGGTCACCAAGTTTCAGAACGATCCAACATCGGAGCATTGCGTGACAGCTGTCGAAAGTCACTGTTTCGTAGTCATGGTGCACTGTTGGCAGCATTTCCCTTGTCACCCTTTCATTGTTGTCATGCCAATGGTGCAGGGACAGAGAATGAGACAAGAAGTACAGGTGGTCAAGTGGGACTCTACCACCCTCCTTTTGAGAAGTGTGGTCTTCCTGGAAGCAGCTTGCAAGAGGGTGCAAGTGGGAAGACAAGCTGACTCATGGTTGGCTTGACTCACTATTGGTAGCCTTGAGTACAGCTCTGAACATCCATGTGTGGTTGGCTTTGCTGACCCAACTAGGACGTTTTCCATCCTTCTCTAGCCTTTCTCCCCTAGGAATCAACCTTCTCTGAGTTCCCAAGATGATCCCAACCCCTTAAGAGTCCCCTAGGCAATGTTGTACTCACCTCTTCCTTGCATCAATGAAACTACACGTTTTCAGCCGAGCTTACGTTTTCGTTCACTGCGTAGTGCATACACCTCTGATAATAGCAGGTTATATACCTTTGGAAAGCAGACACCTAAGGCTAACTGCTGTCCAAGTTTCAGCCTCGTATCGTATCGGAGCTGGTCGTGAAGGCGTTTTGAACAGAGGCGGTCTGAAGTCGTCAGTTTCTACTTAGGCGGTTTCATGGGCATCCGCGACCCCTAAGTGGACTGCAAACTATAACAGGTACAACCCAATATTAGGGTCAGTACTTGAACTCACAATTCACTCAATGCAATCATTCCTGCTTGCTATCTTGACATGGTATCAGAGCAGTAGGTCCGTAGGACCGTTTTTTTCGGGCCCACCATACCTTGCGACCGACTGCGGTTACCGCGTTACCCCACTACCCTGCGTCGCGCTGTTCTGCGCACGCCCTGCCTTGCCCCACGTCGCGCTGCCTCGCGCACGCCCTGCTCTGCCCTGCACTAGCGCCCTGCCCTGCGCCAGCGCCCTGCCCTGCGCCAGCGCCCTGCCCTGCGCCAGCGCCCTGCCCTGCGCCAGCGCCCTGCCCTGCGCCAGCGCCCTTCCCTGCACTAGCGCCCTGCCCTACGCCGGCGCCCTGCCCTGCGCCAGCGCCCTGCCCTGCGCCAGCGCCCTGCCCTACGCCCGCGCTGCTGCCCTGCGCGTCGCACCCTACGGCAGCCCGCGCGTCGCGCGCTGCTGCCCTGTGCGTCGCGCCCTACGGCAGCCCGCGCGTCGCGCGCTGCTGCCCCACGCATTGCGCCCTACAGCAGCCCGCGCGTCGCGCGCTGCTGCCCCGCGCATTGCGCCCTACAGCAGCCCGCCCGCGCGCGCCCTGCCTAGCCTCCGTGACGTGCTGCGCTGCGCGCGCCGTCCTGCAGCCTTCGCGCTGCCTGCTGCTGCCCCGCGTCGCGTTGCCCGGCGCACGCCCTGCCCTGCCCCGCGTTGCGCTGCCCCGCGCACGCCCTGCCCTGCCCTGCGCCAGCGCCCTGCCCTGCGCCAGCGCCCTGCCCTGCGCCGGCGTCCTACCCTGCGCAAGCGCCCTGCCCTGCGCCGGCGCCCTGCCCTACGCCCGCGCCCTGCCCCGCGCCAGCGCCCTGCACTGCGCCAGCGCCCTGCTCTGCGCCAGCGCCCTGCCCTGCGCCGGCGCCCTGCCCTGCGCCGGCGCCCTGCCCTGCGCCAGCGCCCTGCCCTGCGCCAGCGCCCTGCCCTACGCCCGCGCTGCTGCCCTGCGCGTCGCAATCTACGACAGCCCGCGCGTCGCGCGCTGCTGCCCCACGCATTGCGCCCTACAGTAGCCCGCGCGTCGCGCGCTGCTGCCCCGCGCATTACGTCCTACGGCAGCCCGCGCGTCGCGCGCTGCTGGCCCGCGCGTCGCGCCCTACGGCAGCCCGCGCGTCGCGCGCTACTGCCCCGCGCGTCGCGCGCTGCTGCAACCAGCACGTCGCACCCTGCTGCCCTGTGCGTCGCGCCCTGCTTCAGCACAAGCGTCGCGCCCTGCTGCCCTACACAGCGCGTGCCTTGCTACCCGCGCAGCCCAGGCCGAGCCGAGCCGCCCTACCCGACCCGATCCGCCCTACTATTCGTGCTACTGCTGCTGCTGGTGGAGGTGCTGCTAGGAGTGCTGGAGGTGCTGCAGCCTAGCCTCACCGGGCCGCTGCCTAGCCTCACCGGGCCGCTCTGCTGCACTTACTGCTGCTGCTGCTGCTCATACGGCTGTCTTCCCTCCGTACCGCCCTCCTAGTCGCGCGCCTCCTTGCTTACCAGCTATGACTTCACTTCGTAGTAGCGGTGGGAGTGGTGACGGCGGTGGTGGCAGCAGTGGGAGTGGTGGCGGCCGTAGTAGCAGTCGCTGTGGAGCTGTTCCATGGGGAGGTTCTGGCAGTGGCCAGATGCAGCTACAGCGGCGTCCGACCCTTACGTCCCGGCAGCTTCGTGAGTGGCTTTACCAGCGTGGGACATCTCTTATTTGTCTGACGCCTGGCAGACACAGTTTGGCGACGAGACTGAGACCCCCCACTGGCTTGAGCTGCTTAGGTCGGGCGTTGATGTCTTTGCTTTAGACTATGACGCCATCCTTACTGCCATGTATGCTTTGCCTAGTGGTGCTGAGGGTGACTGTTACCTGTGTGTATAGTACGACCCCGGTATAGAAGTTGCTGCTGTAGGTGCTAGTGAGGCTGCTGCCTTAGGTGCTAGTGAGTCTGCTCCCTCCTTCAGTTACTGCGCCTGTTGAGGCCTTGCACACCTTCACGCTTGACTCAGGTGCTTCCCGCTGTTTCTTTCGTGACAGTACTGCACTCACACCACTCCCTGCACCTGTTGCAGTGTCTCTGGCTGACCCCTCAGGGGGCCCAGTTCTTGCACGGTCCACCACTGTGCTTCCGTGTCCGGCAGTCCCGTCTGGCTCACTGTCAGGTCTCCACCTCCCCTCGTTCTCGACGAACTTGGTGAGCAACGCTGCCCTTCAGGATGTCGCGGTTAATACCTTCACCCCTGCTTTGCAGCGTGTGGCGATCTGCACGTGTGCACAGACTGGCCGTCACCTGGCCACGTTCACTCGTCGGCCAGGTGTCTGCGTCAGGTCTGGTAGCCTCCCCTTGTGAGTGTCGCTCCCTGTCGCACCAGACTCTTCTCTGGCACCACCGTCTGGGTCACCCCTCCTTGCCACGTCTACGTGGCATGCACCGTCGCCTCCTTGTGTCTGGTCTTCCCAGGTCTCTCCCTGCGTCTACACTCTGACAGAGGTGGTGAGTTCACCTCCGACCTCTTGCGGGCCTTCTGTCAGAGGGAGGGCATCGAGCAGTCGTTCACGCTTCCGGGCTCACCGCAGCAAAATGGGGTTGCTGAGCGCCGCATTGGCTTGGTCATGGAGATCGCTCGTACCTCCTTGATCCATGCAGCGG